CTTCCTTCATCAATGTCTCAAGTGCACAATGTGTTTCACATGCCCATGCTAAGAAAGTACATTGGAAATCATTCTCATATATTGAGGAATGAACCAGTAGAGATAAAACCAGAATTGATTTATGAAGAAAAATCAATAGAGATCCTTCAACGAGAAATAAAGCAACTGAGAAGCAAGAAAATTCCATTGGTTAAGGTATTGTAGCGGAAGTCAACCGAAGAGGCTACTTGAGAAAGAGAAGATGAAATGCGGGTTAAATATTATGAACTTTTTAGCACGCAAAATCTCGAGGACGAAAATTTTATAAGGAGGGGAGGATGTAATACCTCGAGCTTCATGTTATACCTATGGTCAGTATGATTCATACATTTCATACTAATTACAATGTCATTTACATCAATTTTCGAATTGCTTTCTCTTAAAACGGCATATTTGATCATTAAGGTTTTATAATTTTTACATAGTGATAACCTTCGACTCCTCGACATAGGTGGTGAATTTTTTATTGAGTTATGATAGAAAATTAGGTTAACTAAATGTTGGAGATTGGCTTGATAAATAATGTAATATCGGAAAGTCCGAAAATTAGTATCGACGAAGGTTTAAGCTTTCCATTCGCCTGATCGAGGTCACTTTATACCCTAGATAGGTAATTGCCATATTCAGGACATAAGGCATGAAGTGACATGATCACGACGTAATAGTATATGTTTTATATGATGTTATAAATATGGAGGTGCAAATTGTTGGAATCGGTCAAGAATCGGGTGTCAATCGGGTAAGTAATCAAATAAATAGTTAAGGAATTGGCTCTATAATATGTTTTGGGATATTAGGGCAAGTAAAATGGATTTTTAAGACATTAAAATAAGTCAAGGACACTTGATTTATACCTACAAAGATAGATGTAAAATCGAATTTTGCTATAAGGAACACCTTGATACGTAATACATGTCATGCCTATTCATTTGTCTTTGTAATGGTCAATTCATTCACTCCTTTAAGACTTCTTATACGTGGTATATTATCCCTAAATTTCATAAAAATCCCCCAAGGATAAGTAGGAAATCAGAATTTAATCAAAGGAAACAACACCTACTTAACATGTGACAAATTGTCACTTTAACCTCTAATTCCTTCAACCTTAAGCCTCCAACACGTCTTATAAGTCTTAGCACTTTAAAAAAGATAGATATAACTTTTCTAAGTCACATATGGCTCCATATGGTGAAAGGGAGAAGTCAAAGTTGGCTACAAGAAGCTACCTCCTACTTAGACAGCTCATGCTAGGAGACTTATCACTTTAATATATAATTACTTCAACCTTAAGGCATCTAAATCCTTAGAGCTTTATATGGATAGATATGCATCTCCTAAGTCACAAATAACTCCATATAAGATAGGAGAAAAAAGTCAAATTTGGCTGCAAGGAGCCACATCCTGTTTGGACACCTCATGCTTGGGGAATACTTGTCTTGTAATCACAAATTCCTTCACTTTTAAGTATCACTCACGACCCCAATCCTTAAAACTCCTTAAATAGCTCCTAAATAAGAGATATGACTCTAAAAAGATAACCCCAATTGACCCCAAGTGGATGTGGTAGCAAAGGAAGCAAAAAGGGATAAGAAAATAAGAAGCTGGAATTTCTGGACAGCTTTATTACTTCACGGTTTTAAGGTTTGTGTTACGCCTCTATCTGAACCACTTTGGAGAGTCTGCCTCTACCTATTATGAGGTGTTCAGCACCCATTCGAAGTGGTTCCGAAGTGATTTCACCACCAATGTTGTCGATCCGCTAACACACTATGAGGCATTGACAATTCTGCTGAATCGATCATAGCATCCTCGCCCCTGAAGCCGAGGCGCACTCCGAAGACCTCTGCTAGGATCCGCCGCCAATTTCAGAAAGAGATCTATGTCAGGATCCTTTATATCCCTAAGGTTTAATTAATTTGACGTCTCCATGAGCCTAGTTGATGTGACGTATCAACTTTATGTCAACTCAACTTGGGAGAAGTAATTACCCGCCCACCCTATAGACGCGGCTGATTGACGCCTATGAGCAGACGCCTCATACCACCAGATGCATACACATGTCCTACATCCAACGGCTCTCCTCATCTATAAATACCCAAGGTTTGACAAGAGACAGAGGTAATGAAACTCTTACAACATAACTTTCCATAACAAGCAAATATATATTCTCCTCCCTACTATTTTGCACAACCTTGGTATTATTCCGATCACCTGAGGTTAAATTGACCGTCGGAGTGTATGCGGTCGCCACCACCCCCGCTGGTTCCGTCCATGTGCATCTGACCGTGCATTGACTTTGCGCAGGGAGAAATACGTGGAGTAGCTATCGGTTGGCCACGTGGAGGGTCCAATTTGCGAGGTCAACAGTTTGTATCCATTATTTCTTAAGGGGTTTATAATTTCTTGAACATCTAAACTTGCTTGTGATTAGATTGGACTGATGTTAATGATTTTATGATGCCAAAATAGGGTTAATTATTTACAAGAACTTGAGGGAAAACAACCTGGGCAGAGATGTAGGTTGCTGGATTTGAGTGGTTTATACCTTGATTTTGGGATGATACTTAGTGTGTAACTTATATTTATCAATATGAACATTTTTATATGTAAGTATGAAGTTTAGAAATGATTTTTAATGGCCTAGAATTCTATTGGTATCATACTAATACAATGAAAATCGAAAACTATCACAAGAAAAATAAAATTGCCTGATTTTGTGTGGTGGAAAATGGACTATTTTTGAAGCTCAAAACACTTAATTTTTCAAAACCTTATGGCGTGATTATCTTCACATATATGTTATAGGTGTGTGGTAAAAGTTTGGGAACCATTAAATTTAGATAAGGGCATGAAAAAGAATTCGAAAAATGAGTGAACGGTGATGGAAACCTAGAAAATAGATTCTGTTCATTTGGATATTTAATGTGATTTCAACATTTTTATGTCCATTAATAAACTCTTGAGCCTAGAAAATAGATTCTAAGGAGTACCAGGTTAATGACAACAATTAGATGATGTTGACGTCCATATTTGGACTTGAAAAATAGCGTGACTAATGGGATTTGTTTGTAATGCCATCGGTAACTTGCAATAATGATTTTGTCTAAATTGTTTTGACGTAAATGGATGTATTTTGAAATTGTGTGTGTTAAAGTTATTAAATGGAGGATTGTCTTTAATATTAGATGATAATACAGGTGATTTTTCGACGTTGAGCAAAAAAGGGAATTGATATACACTCCATAGGAGTTTGCACACATAAAGGGGAAAGGTAAGTAAAAATTCATTTGCAACTACGATGCAAGAACCTAGTAATTGTGATGTGGTAATATTGGAAGATTTAGTTAACTTTGCTAAGAGGTTCACTGCATATCATATCATGGTTATAGTCATTGAGTATACGGTTGCGAACCTATTGACATCGATTCTCATTAAATATGTTATTCATGAGCATTTTTATCCGCATGCACGATATGTGATCATGGTTGAAAATCTTGCATGTTAAACATGATCTTAAAGTGAGTTTTCTTCATAAATATTTTATTGACCACTACTAGGGCATCGAGGCATATGAGGCATGCTTATGTGATATGTTTGGTATTGCGGGTGATACTTCCTGGGTGATTGCAAAGGTAGACAGGGGATGAGCCTTTGGTGATCACGGGAGGGTGGGCCACTCGACTGTGCCATTGTGATATTATGATTATTGGCGCTGTCGAGTGAAAGACTTCTTGGGTGATCATAGGGGTAGTTAGGGGATGAGCCTCTAATGGTCACAAGAGGATGGTCCACTCGTCGATGTCGATTTCATATTGATCATTCGATTATTGATATTGATATTGTGCAAAACTCTATCTGGTGCATAGTAGGTAGGTCAATGGCCCAATAAAATGAAAGATTTCAAATGAAATGATTTCGAGTTGACTTTGATAAATATTGGAATACGATGCTTCTTTATCGTTATGTTTAAAGTAAATAACATAGTGACATATATCGTTATTATTCATATTTATAACTTGTATGATTTTTGCTTACTAAGCATTGACTTATGTAGTTTTTGCATTGTAAGTGAGTTTGGAACTACATAGAGAGCACGACTAGTTGTGGAACTCTTACGGAATTTCAGAGTTCGATATATATGGATGACGACCTGTAAGGTTATTTTCTGAGCTGCTATTTTGTGCTTATGGCCTATTTTATTGTATGTTGGGATCCTGTGATGTATATCTTTTGACATAGCATGTAGACATGTTTATAACCTCAGAATATATATGTTTGATTATGTCGATATGATTTTGGTTTAGAGACATAGCTTATGTCGTTTTATCAGGTGAAAAAAGTGTGAAATTCTATGTTAAGGTTGAGTCATCAATTCCATTCCCACATAGGTTAATGAATAGTTATCTATATGAATGGGGTGTGCCAGTACTCTCTAAAAGAATTAATGTCATTATCACTCATAATTATCGTTTCATATTGATCCAACATCTTAAGAAATTTTTTTACTGTACTTAGAAAAAAAAATATTCAAATTAATGTGCAAATTTCGTTTAATTATGAATAATTTTGTATAAAAATTTGCTTTTATGAGGGAATTACCAAATTGTCACTAAATTTTGTAAAATGTTTTTACGGGATCACTAAACTTTAAAATTTACTCATTTTATCACTGAATTTTGCAAAAAAATTTCTCAGGGATCATTAAATTTTTGCAAAATTCAATGACTATATAGAAACTTTTTGCAAAGTTCAGTGAATTGAGTGATTTTTAAAATTCAATAACCCCGTGGAAACTTTGTGACTCCGTAGAAACTTTTTGCAAAGTTCAGTGAATTGAATGATTTTTAAAGTTCAATAATCCCGTGAAAACTTTTACGAAGTTCAATGACTATTTGGCCAATTCACTTTTACTTTTATCTACTTATTACTTATAAGTAGACTGTAATGGTATGGATCCCAAACATTCTATCTAATCGCCTTCCATCTGTGCTTCTCAGAGCCGCCACACTCGCAATCTCAGGTGCTCACACTGCAGAATCGGAAATCCTCTGTTCCTCTTCCAATCGCCAGAAGCTCTTGTACCGAACCACACTAATTTCTCAGTTCAAATGCTTCCCCAAACCAAATTCTCCATTTCTCATCTCCCCCCTTCAATTTTCCCCACAACTCATTTTCTCAGGCCTTCATTTCCACCCTTAAAACCAATCACCTTGGAATTTAAGTCATTAAGAACAAACCCATGTCACAGATTTTCAATCCAGCCTTTGAAATGCTCGGTTTCTGTAGTTTCAGAGCCAACAAACTTGGAATTGACCAGCAATCCCAAACCTTTTCCTGCTGAGGTTTCGAGGACAATCATGGAATTGTCTTCTGTGGGCACTTTTTCTGGTATGAGTCGAGAGGGTTGGCCTCTGGGATTTGGCGTTCGCTTTGCGGTTGACCTAAATGGGACTCCAATTTTGTGCTTGAATGAGTCCAATAGGGAACTTTTTGTGGATAAGAGGTGCAGTATTCATGTTCAGGTTTGTGCTTCTTCACTGAATTGTACAGTTTCTTTGGTTCGGAGAATAATGTATAGCCAAATTATTAATTTGTTTGAATTTCAAATTTTTGTAAGTGGAAGGAAAATAATGGATTGTGATTAAGAATTACTTTCTCCCAGCTAGAGCAATCTGGATTGCGGACGCCACAATGCACGATACATGGGAACCTTGATAAACCTGGAGATAGAATGGCTTTGAAGGTAAAAAATAAAATAAATCCACGTTCATGTTCTGAGAGTCTTCCTTTATTTTTTAGCTTGAATTCATCGACCTGTTTTATAATATAACTCTTAGTCTTTTCCATTTGTTTAGTTATGAATTAACTCACGAGATATATGCTAGGGTCCATTAATTTAGGTTGTTCACAAAGGGCCAAGTTTTGGAACTGTGGGAAGATGATTAATTTAAGTTAGAATTTTAGTGGATGACTATGTTAGTCTCTGTTACTTGTCTACTATTGATGTGAGAAGCAGAAGGTCAGATGCATTCAATAATTTTGTAGTAATCGGGATTATTTGAAAAGCTTCATATCTCAGAACCAGATCATGCAGCCATTTATTTGAAAATCATTATACGTAGATAGTATTATGGCATATTATTAGTGCATAAATATTGTTTTCTTCTATAGAAGCTTATTTTCAAAAGCAATGTTGCTCCTAGAGACATTTCCATGAAATTGGTAAGAATGCACTCATATGTACAAGTTTTTTATATTTCACAAATGGACACGATGGGTTATATATTTATGAATCGATAGATCCATCAGTAGATTCACACCTGAGATCTTTCTACAAATAGTAGTGTTATCCACCCCTATAGCCATGTTCTATTGGGAGGAATAAAACAAAAATTGTCTTTCGGAGAGATGGTTGATAGCCTGGTCTTGAAATCGGTATAGTTTTGATAACTCAATTGAAGACTATTGACACAAAATGAATTCTCATTTGGTTGTTAGTTTTCTTCTTTTATAGAGACTTCATTCAGCATGGAAGAAGCGTTTCGGAGAAGAAGTAGATGAAAACAACATATATGTAATTGATGTTGAACGGGCACTTCAGATGGATGATTTTGCTGAGGTTTGTTGTATCCAACATTAGCATTCTTCGATTATTCATTCTTGAATGAACGTTGTTGTGTTTTGTGTTTTTTTCTTTTTCTTTTTTTGCCTTTCTTCCTTTTTATTCTTTTTTTCTAAAGAAATGTACAGCTAACTATTTGAAGCTTGTAAATAATGATAAGAACGACTGCAGGATGGTACGTGGGTTTCGTCATCCGAATATGCATCAGCTAATCCAGATCCACTTCGAGACTTTGCAAAGAAGGTTATTGATGATATAAATGCACACAATATGGAGGATGTTCATCGGTTTTGCAACATTTATGTGGATTTGGATTTCCAGGTTTGCACCCAAAACAATCATACAACCTAACATGGCTTGTTCAGTAGAGTGTATTATTTGGACAGTATTAAAGTAGAGAAAGAAGCTAACATCATGTCTATAGTAGGGTCCAGTCAGTCCAATACTGTACAAACTATAGTGTTACCATTTTTGATCATGTAGCTTCTTATATTAGCACTCTAGGAACAAGGATTATTATAGCTTCTTTGCAGTATTGGTTAACCATGTTGTATGTCAAAGGAATGATACCGAAGAAAAAGACATTCTTAAGATTTGGGCCATGCATTGTTACAGCATGAGAAAGTGTATATTACTATATTATATTGTTTACAAAAGCAACAAACTACCAAGTTTTATTTTCAGTAGACTTGGTGCCAGCTTCGTCATTACTTTTTCATCTATATTCTCTACTTTTCCATTTTTTTTGGGTTGAATTAGTGGGCGATTCTTGTTAAAATGTTTTCTCAAAATTGTTCTTGGTTCTCTGTCCTCAATTTTTTCTCCTCGCACTCGCTTTTCTGCTTATACCTTGATATATTTCATTGCACATAGCCGGATTCACTTTTATCTGTTATTCTCCATGGAATCCTTTCCTTCATGCGTGAGGAGCCATTGAGTGCTGAACTGAGAGGAAGCCCTATAATTGAAATAACTAAGCAAGGAGACTCGTGTCATTTTTAATAATGTTATTCTCTAATATTAGTATTAGTGGAGGTAAAGACTTGGTGATCTATAGAAAATAAGAAGTTGAAATTTGCTAACTATGATAACATTGCCAAACCTTGTTTAGCTAACATGGCAAGGTTGAAGGTTTTTAAGATCACTGAAACTAAAAGCCTGGATTTGGGGTAGCACAATTTTTCCCAAGAAACCATGCGCTTTAGTGGAAGCTAAGAGATAGATTCTACTATTTGGTCAGGACAAATGAATGAGTGGCTGTGAAGCATGCTCCGGAGGAGATTGACCCTTCTCCGAGTCAGTCTAGTCAGAAAGGGGAGGGCATGCTGTATATACTGCATTTCTGGAGTATGGCACTTTCCCATTAACCAAAATACAACCCATTCCAAGATATCTATCCGTCATGAGAATGGAACTCCATCCCAATTTGTCTTTTTATTTATTTAGTTTCGAAAAAGTAGCCAAGTGGTGATTTAAGGAATTTCATATGAATTACTTTGCATGTTTATTAATCTTAGATAGGCTTAAATCATGCAGTACTACCCACTCAGTTCATGTTTGGTATGCTAAACAAGACTCAAGAACATAATGAACAAGATTTTAATGTCCCTTTTGTTTTCTATCAAGACCTTCCTTTGCTTTGTTCCTTTTGTTCACTGGAGGATGGAAAATGTTTGTTACATAAAAAAACAAGTGAAGAATCCATCTTGTGTTTATACTCCTGCAATCGTTTATCATTGGATTCTTTTTTCCCTTAAAATCCAGGTGTTGGATGCCATGATGGTTTGGGTCGACCGGCTAGGTTTTGACATGCGCCTCAGGTCTACCCAAAATGATGTATATGAGGTCCGAATTCCTTTCCCTAGAGAAGTGACGGATGAGAAGGGCGCAAAATCATCGTTCAACGGTATGTCTCAACTTGCTTGGGAAGTAGAAAAGAATGTTCAAGTTCCAGAATTCAGAAAGGTGAAACAACTGAAGAAGATCATAGGGGGAAGAATTTAAGTCATTTCTGAAATTGTTTTGGTCTTCTACTTCAAATTCTGTGTTTCCAACATGAAATGAATTTCATTGTGTTGTATTTTTTCCTATTTTTCTGTTATGTACATTTTGGTGGGAAGAGCGAAGGGTTGTTTGACCTCTGGATTCATACGTCAATTTTGTACATCGAGACAATTGAACAACAATTACATTAGTGCATATACAATATACAGTACAGACATGATGCGACAATAAAGGAAGAAGATTTTAACTTCTTTTTCTTCGTCACCATACCAAATATATCATTAGCCTTGAGAAATCACATAATGCACACTGATAAAACCCCAAAAAAAAATAATAATAATAAAATCTAAACCCTTGGTTTCTCCAAAACACCCCTACAAGACCTCCTTAATTCCTCGTCAATCTCATCGGCCATTTTATCCTCTCCAAATCTCCTCAACCCTCTGCTCAATACTTTGCCCAAATACTCATCCACTGTTACCCTAGAACCCCACCCAATCTTCCTCATCATCTCATAAATCCTGACCGTTGATTCTTTCCTCTCGGCATTAACCAAAGCTTTAATCAGCCTCGATAATCCCTTAATATCATCACACTGAATCCCTCCTTCCTTTTCCATATCAAGAAATAGGGCATCAATTTCATCTCTGAATCCATTCCTGGATAATGCGAGAACCAGGTCGGCGTAATTGCCGAAATCGACGCTGTATTCTGATCGGAGTGTTGAGAACACTTTGAGGGCGAGAATGCAGTGGTCTTGGCGCAGGAGCTCCTTGAAGGTAGCGATAAGGTCGGATTTGATGAGGCGGGAGAGGATGTGGGTGGGGAGATTTGTCCGGTCGGTTCTGTGGGCGCGTTTGAGGGCCTGGATGGCTTGGATTGCTTCAGTGCTTAAGATCCGACCTTTGAGGAGTGGCCCACGGTTGTCTCGTGGGCCACACCGTATGATGGAGAAGCGGTGGAGTCTGGCGGAAGCCGCCATGGATTGGGATGCAGGTAGGAAATTTAGATTTGAGTGTAAAGAGGAGGCCATTGCGCTGGTGGGATGAGAGTAACCGAAGGGATAAAATCAAGTGGATTTTGGTCCATGATGGGAGATAATATAGGAAATGACATTTTTGTGTCCTTTTAAGGAAATGGTAAAATTATACTTTCAACCCACCTATAACCTTTAAAATCGCAATCTTCACTCCCCAACATTTTAGGTCATAGTTTTTGTTTTAATTCCAATGAATTTGCAACCCACCTCCCACAAATAATTTCTTAACGGCTCTGTTTGGTTATAGCTATTCTTACACCTATAAATTACACGCGTTATGGAGGAGATTCCATATATATTGATGTGGCATCAACTATTTATTGATTGGGCCTGTTTAATTAAACAATTGTATTTTAGGTTCGACCCATTAATCACTTAGCCCATTTACATTTTCCTTTATGTATGTGTAAGTTCACTTCATTAGGGTATGTTTCCTAACCCTAACCAAACTCTCATGTTTCTTGGACTCTTATATTATTTTGTTCAGCCGTTGACCACTGGAGTGCAAACGGATGTCGGACCTTTTTCCCGACTTGCAACATTTGTCTTCTAACGGGATGTTTAGTGTGCCGATGATGTCTGCATGGAGAGAGCGAGGTTAGGATTCTGTTGACACATTTCTTTGGATCAACAGATTCACGCCGTCTATGAAAAACAGTATGTGAACCATGTTATCACCACGTCCAAAAAGCTATTGCAGAAAGATAATTTTCGGCCAGTTCTCTATCAAAAAATAAAAGAAGTCTGCCACAGCAAATAAAAAAGGGAGCTACTAGACGAGGATCTGAAAAAAGTTCTGGAAAAAAATGGTGATTTTCGGCCATCAAAATGGCCAAAAAAACATATATGGGAAAGGAAGATTCTGGCATAAATGGCTACCGAAACGTGAAAAGATTTTGAAAGATAAAGCAATTTTCTTGAACCCGTGAGAAGCTACTGACAAGACGTTGGAAGACCCAAGATCCTTCCACCAAAATGTATGGTATTTGTCTCTACCGTCGACCGTCAAAGCCTCTACAGACACAGATCAAGAATATTGAGGCATCTGCTAGCAGCTTTAGCCTCGAAGACGGTCGTCTTGGTGGTGGCATCTCGATTTATCCTCATAGCTATCAACTTTGACCAGTGGCGAATCCAGGATTTGAGGTCAGCTAGGGCTATTATTGCCATTGACCATCGATAGTCAACAATCGGAATAGCGAGATTGTTTATTAATATTTAATTAAATAATATTAAAAATTCTTCAACCTATATGTAAATGGACTAAATCGTAAATTTATCATTTTCACTTATCATAGATTCACATTGATTCACATACCACAGTTCACATATATCACATATTCTCAAAATTCACAAAATCCCAAAATTTCACATCATAACTCATAAATGATAAATCATAACTCACAATCAACTCATAAAACAGAAAATTATCTATGCATCATCAAGAGATGTATAAAATTGTACAGAAAATCAACAAAATCATGCATACCCAAACTGTGTATTAGTGCATTTCTATCAATATGTGTATACAGAATTAGATAGAATATTAATAAATTATAAAGACATGTGAAGCAAAAATGCAAAAAATAAGCAAATGAACTGCCTAATTAGTAAAATGATTTGACGCAAAATTTTAGACACAGAAAAATTATACCTTGTTGCCAAAACCCTAAAAGCTCATTCTTTTGGGAACATCACAAGACTAATAAAAAGCCTAGACATTTCACCTATTTTAAGAAGAGAAGCAAGGAGTGCTAGCATGCTATGTGACGGTGTGAGTCGGAGAACGGGGGCCAAGCAGTTAGAGGTCGAGGATAGGGTTCGGTGTGAGATGAAACATCGAATGAAATGAAAAAGTCTATGGGCTTGTTTCCTTTGCAATTCTTAATGGGTCATTGTTTTTTTTTTTTTTTTATAAAAAAAAGTCTAATAAAGAAAAGACCCAAAATCTAAAAACAAAAAATTGGCCCAAGAATACACCTTCTTCCCCTTTTACTTCCCCTATAACTTCACTGCGTCTTCTTCCCTATTTCTTCTTCAATCTACCCTATAACTTCACTGATCTGAGCAAGGGCGTTGTCTGTAAATTTCGATAGATCCAGCATGTGCAATCGCACCCCCTCGTCAGGTGCTGGATCTGCCACTAACTTTGACAATGGCAACAAGGTAGCACTATACCGTTTGGATTTCAACCTCGAACTCTTGATTGCTTGTATGAATCAAAGTTTTCCGTTTTCCTTCAATTTTTTGGGATGGTTGTTTTTTGGGTGAACTAGAAATAACTTTTGGAAGGAAATACAAAATTTGGTGTGAGATGTTTCCAGCTTGAAAATTTATTAATTCATTATGAGGCCTTATTTGCCACCTACTCGAGGAAATATCTCAACCAATATTCAGCCCCTAACTGCAGCCTTTGAGGTAGATAAAAGCAGCCGTTGCATTTCAGGAAAATTTCTGATGATCACTATTAAGATAAACAATAATGCTACTCCTACACACTTGGGTTACAAAGTAAGGTGACAAAGCAACGTGGACGGCCAGGATTAAAATGCTACGGACAATTGTGATTGAATCATCAAAATAATTGTGAAAGATTAGGTGCCAAACTAAAATAATGTTCTGCAATGTCAATCTCAATCAAAACAGGGGAGAGAGAACTCCGAGAAAAGACGGGGAATGGGGTAGTATCTATGACCACCATTTCCTCCGGCAGTTTGATATTGCAGTAGTAAGAGCTTTATCTCCGGCAATGGGAGATTGTATCTATGAAAGAGGGTTCTCATTCTTTTCTCTTACCCTTCCCTAGCTTTATCACTGGACCTTTTCTATTCACACTTCCTGCTTCATTTTCGACGTAAAAAAATTCTAATCATTTTGTTGGAATTGCAGGCAGAGAGAACTCAAAGAAAAGAGAATGAAAAGAATCTTGGTGTCCTGGTAAAAAATTTGAATGGGTATGTATCAATTTTTTGCTTCTTTTATTTCTCACTTTATGTTTCTGTCAAATTTTGGCTCCTTGAGTAATTTGTTGGCTTTTTTTGTTCAGTTTTTGGCTCATAGTTGGTCATTACAGTTTGTTGATACGTGGTTTAGGAAAAGCTCGTTTTTTTGTGGTTTAAGCCTTCTTAGTTGGCTGGCTTCCTTGGTATCTAGAGGTTATTCTAGATTTCTAACAAAGTGATATGCATTTTTCAAAAAGAGAACCGAATCACATTCATCGTGCAGCTCCGAACCGAATCACTTATCCTATTACTTTCAGCTATGTATTGACTAAAAATTGATTGTTTATGTTGAGCTAGAATATGTTCAATCTAGCTTAATTGACATGTAATTCTCTTACGATTATCCTAGCTGCAAAAGTAATTTTTGAATTGTTGTTTCTGTTGAGCTAAAATCGTCATGTGTAAATAACTGAGCTAAAAATCTTTATGTATGATGAAGTCCGTGAAAGATTGGTGGAACATATATGCACTTTATAGAGCTATGTATTGATTTACATATACCATTTTGAATGCGTAAATAATGGATGTGTTCATGTTTCGTAGGCGAAGAGAATATGGAGGAAATTTTGTGCACAGAATCCAAAAATGATAATGTCGAGGACAATGTGAATGTTGTGGAAGGTTACACGAAAGGAAGAGATAGTTTGACTATGCCTGAGGTTGGCATGAAGTTTAAGGATGAAAAAGAAGTATATGAGTTTTATGCGAGATATGCTTATGCCATGGTATTCCGATTAGGAAGAGGACTTCATCGAGGGATGATGCTGGGGTTTTGAAATTTGTCACGTTCACATGCAGTCGTGAGTGACGAAAAAGTAGTAATTCAAGCACTACTCTGAAATCGCAACCAACAATTCAGATGGGCTGTAAAGCTAGAATATCTGCATCTTTAGATATCCATGGTTACTGGAAACTTAACACTGTCCACCTTAAACACAACCATGAGACAAGTCCAACTAAGTTGAGGTTATATCGGTGCAATCGAGTGTTGAGTGCCCATGTGAAACAAAGCTTAAAGTGAATGACATAGAAGGAATACCGTTGCATAAAAGTTTTAACTCTTCAATCGTTGAAGCATGTGGTTACAAGAATATGACGTGTGTCGAAAATGATTGCCTTAACTACATTCGACAAGTGAGACGACTCAGACTTGGTGAGGGTGATGCAGTTGCAATACAGTCTTACTTTTTTGAAATATAAGCACAATGCTCGAGATTTTTCTTTAGTATTGACTTGGATGATGATTTACGGTTGAAGAATGTCTTCTGGGCAAACAACCAGTGTAGGCAAGCATATAAAGAGTTCGGGGATTTCGTCACATCCGATACAACTTATCTTACGAATAAGTATGACATGCCATTTGCACTGTTTGTTGGCGTTAATCATCATGGGCAATCGACGTTGTTAGGTTGCGATTTGGTATTGAATGAGGACACTAATACCTTTGTTTGGTTGTTTAGGATATGGCTTAAGTGCATGGATGGGAAAGCTCCGCATGGAATAATTACAGATTAAGATAGAACCATGCAGAATGCAATTGAAATAGTTTTTCCAAATACAAAAACATAGGTGGTGTTTGTGGCGTATTTTGAAAAAGTTGCCAGAAAAATTTGGATGCCACATGGATAAAGCTTCGATATTTTCGATTGTACATGTACTGGTTTATGATTCACAGTCTATCAAAGAATTTGAAGAAGGTTGGAGAGATATAATCAAAATGTATGAGTTGAATGATAACGTTTGGTTGCCCGGATTGTATGAGAACAGAGTTCGTTGGGTGCTCTGTTTCCTGAGAACAACCTTTTGGGCTAGTATGTCAATGACACAAAGAAGTGAAAGTATGAATGCATTCTTCGATGGTTATCTACATGCAAAGACCTCGTTGAAACAATTCGTCCAGCAGTACAAACAAGCACTACGGAATAAGGTTGAAAAGGAGTTTATTGCTGATTTTAAGTCATTCTCTCAAATCTTACCGTGCGTAACAACGTATGAAATTGAGAAGCAATATCAATCATACTATACCATTTCGAAGTTCAAAGAGGTTCAATCCGAGTTTACGAGAAAAATGTATTGTG